AGACTATCTGTAACATAATATACATTTGTTCATTTGCTTTTCTAAGGTGAACTGAAGTGACAATCCCATCCCTCACCCTTTTGGAAATGAAGGTATTTAGAAACTATGGATGTTTTATATTTTTAGTTCCTAAATCTCATTCTTATAAAATTTGTTCTAAGTTAACACTCATTAATTTCAAGCTTTAAAGTACCACACTGTCAAAAATTCCTTATAACTAATGCTTCTGCTTTGTTATTTTTGGTAGTTAAATAAATTTCTGTTGTCTATAAACTATCTAGTCTGTGGTATTTTGTTATGGCAGCCCCAACAGATTATTAACACATTAAGTCTTCACCAAATAGGGAGTTTTACTTTTTCTTTCAAATCTTTGTGACTTGTATTTCTTTTTCATGCTTTGTTAAACCTGTTGGGACTTCTAGTACATTGCTAAATAGGAGTGATGGGAGAAGATATTTCTGCTTGGTCCTATCTTAGAAAGAAACCACGCAGGTTTTCACCTTTAAGTATGCCATTAATTGTATGTATTTGCTTTTAAGTTTATTTTCTTGTTCTTTTTTTTCCTAACTTCTTGAATATTCAGTTCACTTATTTTAATTATTTGCCGATCAGTAATATATATTTAAGGATAAAATTTTCCTCTGAGTACTACGTTAGCTGTATCCCAGAGAGCTGGTTAATTTTTTATTTATTGTTAGTTTTTAGACGGTTTATAATTCCTCTTCAACCTAAAAGCGTTGAGCTTTAGAATATGTAGATAGTGAGGTTCCACAGCGTTTTTGTTCATTTTACTTTACTGCTCTAAAATCAGGACAATAGTTCTTTGAGAACTTTATTGACATTTTTATGACCAAACTTATTATCAATTTTTGTGGCTATTCCACAGGAGGTGAGTTCTGTTTTCAGAATACAGAATATGGTCTATACCAATCAATTCATTTAGGTCTTCAATACCTTCACTTATTTTTCATTCAGTTATTTATCATGAGATAGATGAGATAAAATCAAGTTCCTACTACTCATGCACTTCTTGTTTCACGATTCCCGTAGTTTTTGCCTTATAAAAGCTATATAAAGGAAATACATAGATATATGGCACATGTAAGGCATATATTCCCATTAGATCATCTTTGTGGATTTCAATTATAAATTGCTTTTAATTGTCTTGCATAAATCTTTTTGCCCTGAATTCAACCTTCACTAATATTAGGATTGTTATACTTTGCTTGCAAGTATTTCTTCCAGATCTTTTGTTTGGTTACTGACTTTATTTAACACAAGTTAATACCCAAAATTTCTTTCTTTTATGGTTTCTGGGTTTTTAGTCTTATTTAAGAACTGCACCAACCACAATAGATTACACAATTAAAGTACACTATTTTTTTTCAGATCATGATTTTCTTGTCTTTTAGTAAAAGGTTACGGTTTTCTTCAGAAGTTCCCTGTTAAATGTATTTGAAAGCATATCATAGTTTTTACAACTAGTATTAATAGAATTTTTTTTTTAGGTTCTGGTCACTGGGCTGAAGAATGCGAGTAAAACATCAATTCTATGTGTCTGTGAGAATGTTTCCTGAAGAGATTAGCATTTAAATTGGTGAACTGAGTAAAGCATATAGCCCTGGTGGGCAACATCTAATCCCTTGACTGGAATAAAAAAGGTAGAAGGGCAGGGCACCCGGGTGGCTCAGTCAGTTAAGGGACCAATTCTTGGTTTTGGCTCAGATCCTGATCTCAGGGTCCTGGGATCCAGCCCCACATCAGGCGCTGCGCTCAGTGCAGAGCCTGCTTGTCCCTCCCCCTCTGGCTACTCCCTGTGCTCTCTCAAGTAAAAAATCTTAAAAAAAAAAAAAGGCAGAAGGGCCAATTAACTCTGTCTGCTTGAGTTCAGAAATCCATCTGCACTGGAACAGGGGCACTTCTGGTTTCTGGGCTTTTGGAGTTAGACTGGGACTTACACCACATTCCCTGGCCTTCAGACTAAGTCTGTGCTTTGCCACTGGCTTTCCTGGCTCTCCAGCTTACAGACAACAGATCAGCAGATCATGGGACTTCTTGGCATCCATAAGCACATAAGCCAATTCCTATAATAAATCTCTTTTATATATCTATACATATCCTACTGCTTCTATCTCTCTGGAAAACCCTAATACATTCCTTTTAGATGTTTCTGCTATGAGAGAACAGTTGTTGATTTCCTTATGCTTATATACTGTTCCATCTTATCAAATTCCAGTCTTTTTTAAAAAACCTAGAATCTCTCAGCTGTTCTAGGTTTATAATCTTATAAACGGAAAAGAGAAATATTTTTATTTCTTTTCCAAAGTTGATCATATAAAAATTAATTCCTCTCCATCACCCATCTTTCTTTTGGTCTAACTACATTTGCTAGAACCTCTAAGAAAATGTTTAAAATTAATGGCCATAATGCTTCTGTCTAGTCCCTCATTTTAATTCACTAAGTGGGTAGTAAGTTTGGTCAAATGCTCTCATCATATCTGAGTAGTTTTCTCTGGTACCATTTTTACCTATAGCTTATATTAGAAATGACTGCTGAATGTTATCAAAGGCCTTCTTAGTACCTACTTATCTGACCATATAATTTTTCTTCTTTAATTTGCTGATATGAATTATGCTAATAGAGTGTCTAATTAAATTTCCTGTAAATTCCTGGAATAAATTCTACTTGGTCAGTGGAGTAACTACTCACGTGATACACTGCTGGATTCTACATGCTAATATGTACTTATAATTTTTACATCTATATTCACCAGTGAGAACGCCTATAACCCCCCATATGCTTTTTTCTATTTATGAAATTTGGGGTATTAAAGCTACGCAGAAGTCATAAAGTAAATTGAAGACCTTTTCATCTTTTCCTAGGGCCTGGAATAATTTAAATAACACAGGTGTAGTGTTTGAAAATAACAACAGATGGTATTAATGAACATTTTATTAGATGTAAACACATTACATGCATTGACTCACGTTAAGTAATAATTCAGCTGTGAATCCACCTTGTCTTGGTGTTTTCTTCAATAGATCTCTATTCACCTTTCCAATTTCTTCTATGTTTAATCTCCAAGTTTTCTACTTTTGCAGAAAGTTGATTTGGTTTATTTGTATTTCGAAAAAAAACATCCATTTGCTAGCGTCAAGACTGTTTATACAACGCTGCATGTGGATTCATACCAGTCTATGATTATGTGATTATATCTCCCTTCTTCCTAATCTCAATTATAATTGTTTTCCATCTCCTTAATCAGATCCAAAAGGAGTTTCTCTATGATCTGAACTTTACAAAGACACGTTGTAGACTTATTTATTTCTATTTCTGTAGTTTTTTTTATTTCTTTAGTTTTAATGTTTACATTCGTTGTTTCATTTTTCCAACTTTCTTTTGGTTTCCTTGTTATTTTTTAAATTCCTTTAAAATGTGCACTGAGTTCCTGGACTAGTCATTAAACTTATTATTTCTCATATTTAAACCTTCCCTTCAAACTCAGCTCTGTGATGCTAACAATCAAACACATGAACTCTGAATCCCAGATCAGAATCAGTTTATTAATTAAAATACACTCTAAATAGTTTTTTTAGTAATTGGGGAAACTTTATATGGCCAATATATTAGAGGACATTATTGAATTACTGTTTATTTTCTTAAAAGTGATGTATTGTGGTTATGTAGTAGACTCATTTTTAGGAAATGCATACTGAATTGTTTAGGCATGAAATGTTATGACATCTGCATTTTTAAATGATTTATGGGCTGAACTATGTCTCCTCCCTAAAAAGTTCATAGGCTGAAGCCCTAACCCCAGTACCTCAAAATATGACTATTCTGGACATAGGACCTTTAAAGAGCTAATTAAGTTAAAATGAGGCCATTATGGTAGACTCCGGTGTCTGGTATCCTTATCAAAAGAGATTAGAACACAGAGAGAGACACCAGGGGGCGCACACACATAAGGGCAATCAAATCAAAAGGCAGCAAGCAACAAGGGGCACCTGGGTGGCTCAGTGTAGGTTAAGTGTCCAACTCTTGATTTCAGCTCAGGTTATGCATGATCTCAGGGTCCTTGGATCAAGCTCCACATCCCCCATGTCAGGCTCCGTGCTCAGCAAGGAGTCTGCTTGAGGATTCTCCAGTTCTGCCCTTCCCTCCCCCCACTTCTAAATAAATCTTAAAAAAAAAGAGGCAGCAACAAGGTGGCCATCTGCAAGCCAAGAAGAGAGGCCTCAGAGGAAACCAACCTTGCCAGTACCTTGATCTTGAACTTCCAGCCTTCAGAACTGAGAAACTGATTTTCTGTTCTTTAAGTCAACCAGTCTATGGTATTTTGCTATGGCAGCCCTAGAAAGCTAAAACAAATAGCTCTGGAAGAAAAATGATAAATACAAAGAGAGAAAGCAAAAATAGCAAAATGTTAATGTTGCTGATTTCATTCTATGATTCTTTCAATTTTTAGATAAATTTGAAATTTTCCAAAATAAAAAGGTTTGTATTAGCATCCCAAAACTCTGGGCAGTTTTTATCATCACAAGAGTCAAATTTTATGTACCTATATAAAATGAACCACCTTACTATCTCATCTGTGAAATGAGACAATTATCAACCTGACATTAATAGATACCAGAAGAATTTTAAGTGTTTTAAACCAATTAACGTAATACCTGGTAGACTAAGTACTTAATAAATAATGAGTATCACTAGCAATAAATTCAAATTCCAAATGAGAGATGTGATTCTGCTTCAGGCTGGCATCACTGTTGTCAAAAATGTATGAGTAGTAGTTTAAGAAAATCACCTTAATCCTGAAAGCAATTAACTGTATTCTCATATATACCAAAAGGACCAATCATTACAAGTAAACAAATCAATTCTACACTGTTGATTTTATATAAATACAATGCAGAAAAATAAACACATTCTTAAGGTAAGAAATCATGGAAGGAACAACAAAGAAATTTTGAAATGGAAATGAAAGTTTTTAACTTACTGACTGACTAAATCAGATCCCATCTTAGTGCCATCATCTGCCTCCTCTTCCATATCAGAGTCCATACCATTGTCACCTTATAAATAAAATAAACTATTGAAAGCAGGCTTATAAAATGTCAGAACAATTTAATCATTACGCAAAGTGCCATCTATAGAAGTGATGCAGATTTGAGAACTTTATAGTTGTTGAAAGATGAAATTGTTAATTGCTTATATTTAAAATGAGTTCCTTTCAATGCCTTATTAGGTATTTCTCACTGCCTTCCCGTTAACTATTTTATAAATACACACACACACACAACGTGTCTGTGTGTGTGTGTATGTGTGTGTATATATATATATATATCTATATATATATATATATATACTTATAGGCTACACCCAGATGTATACATCTATTAGCAAAGTTACAAATTCCATTAAACCATTTTAATTTTTTTTAAAGATTTTATTTTTAAGTAATCTCTACACCCAACATGGGGCTCAAACTCACAACCCTGAGATCAAAAGTCGCATGCTCTACCAAGTAAACCAGCCAAGCGTGCACATTAAACCATTTTACATTTCAAAGAGATATTATCTCTGGAAATTGAAAGTCTCCATTTTTTTTGCTTCTTCTCTTGTAATGCTAATGTTAAAATCCTTGTACAGTTCCAAAAGAAAAAAAAAGCCTGAAAATCTAAAATTCTGGGGCACCTGGGTGGCTCAAATGGTTAAGCATCTGCCTTCAGCTCAGGTCATCATCTCCGGGTCCTGGGATCAAGCACCACATCAGGCTCCCAGCTCAGCGGAGAGTCTGCTTCTCCCTCTCCCCCTGCTCATGCTTTCTCTCTCTCTCTCTCTCTCTCTCTCTCTCTCTCTTCTCAAATGAATAAATTAAAAAAAAAGAAAATCTAAAATTCTACAGGTAATAGTGTCACAAAGAATAGTCACACTTTAGGCAGAGATAAATGTAGGCAAACTGCAAAAATTCTTCCAACTCTACAGCCAGGTCTTATTACAGCAAAAGTAGTATAGCAACAGGCAGTTACAAGCAATAGGGGTGTAAAGCAGAAAATAAAAAATTATTTTAAGGAAAGCCATCTCAATAATTAATACTTCTTTACAGCATTTTGGGTAAAATTTATTTCATTTTATTATTGTATACAAACTTATGCTCTTATCTTTGATTATATTTGATTTGAGAAAACGAAATACACATCAAAAAGTCTATTCTTGAAATGCTCTTCTGCTATGTAAGCTATATTTCAAAGTACAAATAGAAAAATTACTCAATGATTACCCAGTAATGAAATTAAATAATCAAGTAAAAAAAAAGAATAACTTAGGATTTATGCTACTTATATGTTAACTAGTAAGTTACCAGAGTGCAGAAATATGTATTCTTACCCTCGAGAATCTTCAAGATTTTTTTTTCAGATAGTAGCTCTAACTGTTCCTGGCACAGTTTTTTAATTTCTTCTATTGAACAGTTCTAAAGAAAATGACATTAAAAAAATACATTTATGTAATATAGTGCCAATATAAACTAGAAAATAGTAATCATAAAAAATGTCTGGTTAGCAAACTCTTACATTAAAACAAATTAAAAGCCATATAAATCTTTCCATGAGATGAAATCTGTAAAATGGTCAATAACATGTAAATGTTATAATTTATAGACATTTGATGAGAATAAAGTCATGTTTATTATGAAAGAACAAACTAAAGAGTAAGTCAGGTTCCCAGATATTCTTAATAGCAGCCTATTTGTTAGGTAATTCCTCTAAAGATTTACATACTCAAGTGCTGGCTCTATACATCTTAGATCTTCCACGCCCTATTTCCATAACTGTAAAATTAGAATACCATAAACAAATATATGAAAATATTTGTGAATTTAAAGAAATGTAAGCTTTTACCAACCAATACTGTATACTGTTACATAGCAGAATATTATTTAAGACACCAGAAAGAGGGCGCCTGGGTGGCTCAGTTGGTTAAGCGACTGCCTTCGGCTCAGGTCATGATCCTGGAGTCCCGGGATCGGGTCCTGCATCGGGCTCCCTGCTTGGTGGGGAGCCTGCTTCTCCCTCTAACCCTCCCCCGTCTCATGTACTCTCTCTCTCTCTCATTCTCGCTCTCTCAAATAAATAAATAAATCTTTAAAAAAAAAAAAAAAAGACACCAGAAAGAGTCATTATACCGCTAATTTTTTACTAAAATTGCCTGCATTTAATAGAATTATTTCCAAAAGGTTAAGAAATTCCTTACCTAAACACAGCATACTGCTCCATTTTTTCTTGGCAAACTTCTAAATATACAAGGCCATTTATACTTCTCCAAGATCCCATTTTTTAATCTTTTTGAAGTAGCTTGAGTTGAAAACATCCAATTATAATTTACATGAAGCAAAATGATTACTATAAAAAAAGTGTTTGTATTTCTATATATATGTATAATCCAATAATATATGTAATGAAGTACCTTTAACACATCAGGAAGCATCTTCTGTAACTTTTTCTCGCCTATGATACAGAAACACTGCTGAAGCATTTCTTTTTTGTCTGATATATAGAAACTAACTGGTTTTAATGACACAGTCAGGTCCAGTCCACCTTCTTCAAGGTCACTGTGCTCTGCCAAGAATAATTCTTTTTCCAAAGTCGGCAAAAGGTATTTGGTATCCTAAAATTAAAAGAGACAAAAAACCATTAAATAAAGAAATATGCATATGATCTCATACATTTACATTTAATAACTACTTCTTCATTAAACACTTCCAAATTCTTTCTTTGCATAGATTATTTACCTAAAGCCAGTAAAAAATATATTTAATTGTTCAATATTCTTTGATCTTACTGTCTGTACTACAATTAACTTGATCAGTTGATATTAAGTGAAGAGATTCTCTCAGGACACATAAGTGAAAATATACTCAATATTAAAAAAAAAAAAAGAAAAGAAAATATACTCAGTATTGAGTGATCTACAATTTTAGACTTCTGAACAATTAGGATATTCCTCTAGTGTGCCACTCAACCCAAAATTTTATGTATGCATTGTTATTCTTCTTAAATTCATAAAAAGAAATGGGATGGCAGCAAAAATGCTGAAGACCGCAATTATGAAGTATTACTGCTTACCAGGAGCTACACTCATTTTTAAAACTGCTATGTAATTTAAGCATATTCAAAGTAGCCAAGTCATTTAAGACATTTCTGTCAATTTTACCTCCTAACTCCAAAATCTATCCAGTCTCTCCAAATCTACTTGCCATAATCCTGGTACAAGGTACCATCATCTTTTGCCTAGATTATCTCAACAGCTACTTAACTGGATGTCTTTTATCTAATCTGAGGTCTCTCCAAAAATATACACATACTCATCCTTTTTTTTTTTAAGATTTTATTTATTTATTTGACAGAGAGAGATACAGCGAGAGAGAGAAAGAGCACAAGCAGGGGGAGTGGGAGAGGGAGAAGCAGATCCCTGCTGAATAGCGAGCCCAATGCGGGGGCTCAATCCCAGGACCCCGGGATCATGACCTGAGCCAAAGGCAGACACTTAACGACTGAGCCACCCTGGCGCCCCTATACTCATCCTCTTTATTTATAACCTTTCAACGACTTCGCACTAAGTGCGAGCTGAGTTTGAACGGAAGGTTTAAATATGAGAAATAGTAAGTTAATGACTAGTCCAGGAACTCAGTGCACATTTTAAAGGAATTTAAAAAATAACAAGGAAACCAAAAGAAAGGTGGAAAAATGAAACAAATGTAAACATTAAAACTAAAGCAATAAAAAAAATAAAGAAATAGAAATAAATAAGTCCACATTATTCATTGTTTGTGCTACAAACACAACAACCTCAGAATTACTCAAATATAACCTCTTCTCCCTTCACCTCATTCAGACAGGGCTTTTGTTCGTACCACTCTGCCTAAGACAGCCTTTCCTCCCCATTCCCCCCCTCAATGTTATACTCCTAAAATTAACAAATTCAGATATCAATTCAAAAGTCATTTAAGAAAATCTTCCCTGACTATATAGTTCAGGTAAATTTATTATATTTTCTAATGAAACTGTTTTAAAAGTGGTCCATCGAGTGATAAATGGAAAAACCAATTGTGGTATAGCCATACAATGAAATATTATTCCATTCATATAAAATGTCCCGAACAGGGAAATCTATAAACCTATAGAGACAGGAAGTAGTGACTGCCTAGGGATGGAATGTGGTGGAGGTATTAGGGATGATAGCTGGAAGGTACATATCAGATTTCTTTTGGGGGTAATGAAAATAAAACTGACTATAGTCATGACTGCACAACTCCATTAATATGCTCAAAACCAGTGAACTGTATACTTGAAATAGGTGAATTGTGTGGTATATGAATTACATCTCTGTAAAGCTGTTACCAAAAACAACAACAATAATAGAGAACATAGTACACACCAGATGTAATGGCACTCTCAGAATTCTGAGATGTTATCCACATGCCTAACATATAATGACTTCTTTCCTTTATAAATTAGAACTAGGGTTTAGTTCTGCATGGAAATACTAATATTATTAATTTAAAAAAATTTTAAGACCCACAGAGCTATACAGTCCAACAGTCCAGTTCTAATAAGAAAGAAAGTTCTTCAAGAAAAAGATAGAGACTATTCTGGAACACATCCCAAAAATGCAAAGCTTTCCAAATCAATCTATAAGGCAAGCATAATCTTGATACCACAACCAGACAGGATAACTACAAAAATAAAAACCATAAGCTGATTTACTTAGGAACACAGACACAAAAGAATACTGAATTCCAGCTGAGTACAATAACCAAACCAACAAACCAAACAGGATCTATCCCAAGACTGCAAGACAGTTTAACATGAGTTAATTTACCAATTTATTAAAAATTACATTATCCGATTGAGGGAGAAAATTATGTAATCATCTCAAAGAATGCCATAAAAGCATCTGATAAAACTCTACAACCCTCAGTGAACTAGGAATTGAATAAAATGCCCTTAACTTGATCAAAAGTATCTTTCACAAGCTTTGGCAAATATACTTTTGGATGGAACATTAGAAGTGTTCCCATTAAAAAAACAAACGAGAAAAAAATGCCTACTATCATTGCTTCTGTTCAACACTACACTAAAAGTCTTAGTTAATGTAAAAGTACAAAAAACAAGAAATATTAGTGCTGAAAAAAAAGAGACAAAATCCCCTGTTAGCACAAATTTTTCTGAGTCAATTTTATTTATTTATTTTTTTAAAGATTTTATTTATTTATTTATTTGTGAGAGAGAGAATGAGAGACAGAGAGCATGAGAGGGAAGAGGGTCAGAGGGAGAAGCAGACCCCCTGCTGAGCAGGGAGCCCGATGTGGGACTCGATCCCAGGACTCCAGGATCATGACCTGAGCCGAAGGCAGTCGCTTAACCAACTGAGCCACCCAGGCGCCCTCTGAGTCAATTTTAAACTAGTAATTAATACTGTGGCTAAATGTAATGTTTAAACAAGAAATATTAGTGCTGAAAAAAAAGAGACAAAATCCCCTGTTAGCACAAATTTTTCTGAGTCAATTTTAAACTAGTAATTAATACTGTGGCTAGATGTAATGTTTAAAAATATTAGAAAAAAACAAAGAATTTGTTGGGAGTATGGAAAGATCTTTCTAAACACAAAATCCAGAAGGCAAAGAATAATATTATTAGTCCTGACCACAAAGAAAAAAAAACTTCAGTACACCACGGGCAAAGTTACAGTAACATTTGCAATGTATCTTACACAGAGGATTAGAACCCAGACTTTATATAGACAGATTCAGAACTTAACAGTAAAAAGCTCAAAACAACCAAAAAGAAAATGGCCAGAGAATATATTTATGCAATTTATATAAGAAGGAATCAAATGGTAAATAAAAATATTAAAATGTTCAATCTATTAATCAGGAGTATATAAATCAAAACAAATGAAAAATTGATTTCACCCGCTGACAAACTTTTCAAAAATGGATATAGTGAGTATTTGCAGAAATGGGTATTTTTTTCTAATGTTTAGACTATAAATCAGTAAAATAGTTTTTGGAAAGCATTTGGTGGTACCTACCAAACCTTTTTAAATGCATAAACTTTGACCCAGCAATTTCACTTCTAAGATTCTACCCTAAAGTATTTGTTGGGCAATATATACGTACAAGGGTTCATTTTCACATTCTCTGTAACAGCAAGAAAACTAAAAATCTAAATATTCATCAATAAAAATAAAATGGAATATCCCGCAGTCACTAAAATATAAGACATTATCTAATTCAATGGGAGGTAATATCACAATAAAGCTTATGTGTAAGAACTTAAATACATATACTTGACAAGAATTAATGAAGAGGCTGCGTAGCAAATAAAGGGGAGGTTTAAACAGATTCTCATGCTTTCTCCTTTATTTCTGTGTTGTATAACTATTATGTATTCATGCTTTCGTTTTATAATACAAGCAAACGGCTTTTTTTTTTTTTTAACGGCGGTATCTTGGTAGATCGATGGGAGTGTAAAAAAACATGGCTTTTATAATCAGATATTGGATTCAAATTTAGGTCTTACTAACAAACTGTGACTGTGGGTAAACTTCATTAATCTCTCTGAGCTTCAATTTTCTCATCCTGTAAGGGGGAATTAATCATAAACTACTAAAACGTGAAGATGAAGAAATAAGTAAACCGTGGCTCTCAAGGGCGCTGAAGACTAGTTCCTGGCCCTTACTTTTCAGGTAGACTGCTACTGGAGTGGAAAGGGGCCAAAAGCAAAGAGGTAGATGATCAGCATATCCGGAAACTTTTAAGTTAAAGGCATGGGAGTGTGCGGTTCACCGGTATTTAGTAACATGAACCTCAAGGAGGAGTGGAACCTTGGGATCGTAGCGCTAAGTGAGCTACCATAAGAGCCCCATCCGTCGCTACAGTCCTCTCCCCGCCCGTCTTCGTCGGAGAACACTGCGGCTCCGAGAGCAGCGAGAAGGGCTCGCACGCACCTGCTGCAGGGACCCGGAGACGCTGGAGGATGAGTCAGTGCTCCTCCGCTTCCGGCGCTCGCTGCGCTCTACGCTGCTCCCTCCCCAGCAGCTGCCTCCACTCCCACCGCCGGTGACACTTCCACTGAAGCTGGTGTTCCCACAGCAGGTGACGCTCCCGCAGCCGCTGGTACTCCCGCAGCCACTGGTGCTTCCACTGCCGCTACTGGCTAGGGCGGGCACCAAGTCCGGCGCCGTGAGTGCCGCGGCCGCTTCCTGACCGCTTCGTTTGCGCCGCTTCTCCCGGGAAGACTTCTTCCCCGTCATGATCCCCCTGCTGCAACCATTCGGCAAAAGCCGGCCGTCTCTGAAGCTACCTAAACCCCGCTGCGGCGGCGGCTAGGGACGGCGAGTGCTGACGGCGAGTGCTGGCGTCGCAACTTGTGCGTCACTTCCGGCCTCGTAGCAGAGGCCGGGAGGCGTTCCTGGAGGGCGTGACTGGCACCAACCGTGCTTTCTTGCGAAAGGTGGAGATTGCCTTGAATTGGAGGGCTAGCAGGTTGTATTGAACGTTAAGGTTTCTGTGCTTTTCTGCACAGAAAGGACAGAAGGTGGAGGTTTACAGCAGCACTTTGGCTTATTGATACTTCTTTTCAGATTTTGTCCTGTACACATACACAGTAAGCTATGGGTGTAGTTTTTTGTCTTCCAATGTTTGTTTATGACAATAAAATGTAACAGAACTTGGGGAAAATCTCATTAACATCATCACCAGGGCACATTTTTTGAAGTGTATTTTAGGGAGTTATACAGGAATAGGGTTTTGTGCTTCCTTGTTTTTCCCCCATTAACACTAATTTTTAGGCATGTTTCCTTTTCACTTCTAAAGGCATTTGGGTCTAGTATTTCACCGTATTTCTCTTAAATGCTGGCATTTAGGTTGTTGCCAGTCTTACATTTTACAATGTAAGCAGCTATGAACAGCTTAAGAAAAAAAAATTACATTATTTTCCTTATGGTATTTTGTCCCCCCAAAACAAATTGATCAGCACCTTCTTTTTTTTTTTTAAGATTTTATTTATTTGAGAGAGTGAGCGAGAGAGCACACGAGCAGAGGCAGAAGGAGAGGGAGAAGCAGACTCCCCTGCTGAGCAGGAAGCGGGATGCATGTGGGTCTCCATACCAGGACCCTGGGATCATGACCTGAGCAGAGGGCAGACCATTAACGACTGAGCCACCCAGGTGCGCAACACCTTATTTTTCTTGTCCTATTTAATCAGATTCCTTTGAGAAAGATCAAGCTAATTTAAAATGTCATCCATACACAGAAACCTTAAAATTTTTTCTAATATATGATAATAGAGTTTTAACTTGCATTTTTTATTTTGATCCAAGTATAATTAGTGTACAGTGTTATATTAGTTTCAGCTGTATTATATAATGATTTAACAATTCTGTACATTTCCCATTGCTCATTGAGATAAGTGTACTATTAATTCCCTTTATTTATTTCACCTATACCACCACCCATCTCCCATCTGGCAACCACAAGTTTGTTCTCTTTATCTAAAAGTCTTTCTTTGTCTCTGTTCTTCTTTTGCTCATTTGCTTTGTTTTACATTCCACATGAGTGAAATCATATGGTTTTTGTCTTTCTCTGCCTTATTTCACTTAGCATTATACCCTCTCGATCCATTCATTTTGCTACAAATGACAAGATTTCATTCTTTTTTATGGCTGAATAATATTCCATTACATTTATATTTTACATATATATTATATATATTTACCACATCTTCTTTATCCATTCATCTATCAGTGGACATTTGGGTTGCTTCTTGGCTATTGTAGATAATGCTGCAGTAAACATTGGGGTGCATATATATCCTTTGATTTACTTTGAATACCATTAGTTGGAACACTATTTCCTCATCATCAAGTGCTAATAAGTTTAACCATTTATCTGCTGAAATCAGTGTGTTGACCTGATAAATGTACATAAATTATTTATGTTGGTGAGATGGGAGAAGGGAGCAGGGATAAAATACTGGCATATCAGTGTTTCTATTTTTTCTCTCTCCCTTCCTTCCTCAAAAATTGCCTTTTCAGGCTAGTTCTTGGTTTTCAAAGGAGAAGAAGATAAGAAGGCTTCAAGAAGAGTTAGTAGTGCACAGGATTGGTAAGGAAGTCCCAGGCCATTTTTAGAAAGAATTTGAGGCAAGAAATGCAAAAGAAAAGCAGCAGTGCATGAGGGCAACAAATGGAAGACAACTGAGGAGAATTTAGGGAGTGTTTCTGGAGATTATGTATTTCCTGCATAGAGTGCATGAGGGACAAATAAAGGACTTAAGTGAGTTTTTGAAAATTGAGTATGTGTTTTGGGTTTATCAGTGCTAGATTTTGTGGGCTGCTGTGTAGGATTTTGGAAACACAAGCCAGGTTTTAAAATCAGGATCAAGAATACATATTTTAAAAAAAATTGCCATCATGTGGCAAGGGTGGTCTCAGCAGGGGCTTTAGCCACAGAAGAAAAAAGATAGGGCCTGGGGCAACACTAGCTGAGTGATAATAATCCTAAAATTACCACTTGAGGGACAGAAAGCAATTTAAAAAAAAAAAACTTCCCTTTGACCACATTTCCTACCTGTCTCAGCCATTCAGCAACTTTTAATAAGTGCATAAAACAAAACAGATGCAGGGGTAATTACAGCCCTGTGAAAACAGCTGTCTCTACCCCCTGGCTCCACCCTTAGTTTTGCCTTCTAAGGGAAATGCTGAGACTGAGCATACTGTGCTCTTGGAAGTTCTATATTGGCCTCATTAAGTATCTTACCTGAAAGGATTTAAAGTATTATGTTCATAGAATAAGCACATAAAATTAATAACATGTAACATTTGTAACCTTGTTACAGAGTGAATTGTGTCCCCCCAAAATTTATATGTTAAAGTCCTAACTCCAAATCTATCTGTACTTGGAGATAGGGCCTTTAAGGACATAATTAAAGTTAAATGAAGTCATGAGGGTTGGGGCCCTAATCAGATAAAACTGGTGTCCTTATAAGAAGAAGAGATACTAAAGATCTCTCTTCCCCTGTCCCTGGTCTCCTACCCTTTCCCTTCTCCCCTCCACCCCCACCCCACTCCTCTGTGAGCACACAGAGGAAAGCTTAGTGTGAGAAGGGAACCAGCTGTCTACAAACCAGAAAGAGAGATGTCATCAGAGATCAACCCTGACAGCACCTTGATCTTGGACTCAGCCTCTAGAACTGTGAGAAAATACATTTCTGTAGTTTAATCCACCCAGTATGCGGTATTTTGTTATGGCAACTTGAGATGACTGATACAAACCTATGATGGTATGTATTAGCCTGGATAGTTGCATATTAATTACTGGCTGCAAATTTTTCCCTTATAAAATCAGTTGCGAAGCTTCTCAGTTTCTACCTCATTCTACAGCAAACTGACAAATAGTTCCCATATTTCTTTGGCTGGAGCAAGAAGCCAGGACGCTGCCAACTAGATGGTTTAAGAATTTATCTGTTTGGCAGATGAATCCCAGTCTTTGTCCACTCTTCCATATTCTTGTTCTAGAATACAAAGGCATTGTTTGACCACTGGTGATAGAGTACAGAATAGACAAAATCCACGCCTTCATTAGCTTATATTCTGGTAAGGAGAAGCAAACCAAAAAAACCACACAATAGGAAGTGCTTCCATCCTCACTCTGGCATTCTGCATTCTTCTTACTCTGCTTTATTTTTCTTCAGTGCTCTTAATACCACTACACATGCATTTGTTTGTCTGTCTCCTTTCACTTGAATGTAAGCTCCATGAAAGCAATGACTTTGTGTTAATCACTTCTCTATTCCCACTACCGAAGTGCCCTTAATAAAAAATTTCTCACATAGTTGGTTCTTAATAAAAATTCCTTGCATAAATGAGTGAATGAAACACAATTTCAGTTGGAGAACCACGGTTATCCAGGATTATATGAACTCACTAAATTATGAGAGTAAAAGTACCTAGTGAATTAATGGCCAGAAATTCCTTTATTAAAGGAGGTCATTAGGAGCTTTGCTGGGCATAGTTCAGTGCTCCTTCATCACATGGCAGAGAGACTTAGCTACAGGGACTCAGCTGCCGCTGTGACACTGACAATCACACGGGATTTGGAGCGATCGTTACAAACAGCTTTCTAACAGAAACTAGATAATTCTACGTGGAGCTCTGCCATGCAGAGAACAGGGAAAGGACTTTGACTCATGGTTGAACAGGTTATAGACACATCACAAGGTTGGTTGGCTTAAAGCCAGAGAGATGCCATTGTCTATTTAGGTTGAACCATATGAAATTGCCATTTTTGGAGGTCAAAACTGATTGAATGTTGACAGTTTCATATGTTCACTATAATATTATAGAGATGAAGAGACCCAGCATTGAACATTATTACAGACTTCAAGCTCAGCAAACAAATGCAGGACCACTTTTCTGTCCTGGAACAAATACATGGGAGGGTGGACAGAGACTGAAGGTTTTTTTTTTTTTTTTTTTAAGATTTTATTTATTTATTTGACAGAGACGGTGAGAGAGGGAACACAAGCAGGGCGAGTGGGAGAGGGAGAAGCAGGCTTCCCGTGGAGCAGGAAGCCCGATGCGGGGCTCTCTCCCAGGACCCCGGGATCATGACCTGAGCTGAAGGCAGACGCTTAATGACTGAGCCACCCAGGTGCCCCCAGAGATTGGAGTTTATATGCCCTTTTTATAAATGCTCTTCAGCAACTCACTGAGCATTCATCACAATCATCAGCCTGGGATATGTATGTACTAACGCTAGGGCCAATCAGTATTTGGAATTTATAAAGAGACACTAGGTGAGAAATTCAGTCTTCCACTTAAATGAACTGTAAGGAAATTATCTCTAGTTGTCACGTTCTCTGTCCTGTGCTCAACAAGAGACACTTACTGAAACAAGACACAGAAAGTCCTAATACTGTCATTTTCATATCAATGAGCCAACAATTGTCTCCTTTTTCATTAAGCTGATCTGAATTGGTTTCTATCACTTGCAACCTGGATTCCTGATGAATACAACATGTAAGACCTTGCATGATCTGAACAGCATTTTTCTCTGTAGCCCCATATCTTTCCTAGATATATGCCCTCCGGGCCTATCCAACAACCCCACCTCCACTCATCTTGTTAACTCTAAAATTCTTTTTAAGTATCACTCCGTATTTAAAACCTTTCCAAATCACTTCCTTTTTTAATCCCGTTAAAATGAAATGCTTCTTCCTTTGTAAAACATTGTCTTCCCTACAGGGCATCCAGAACTCTTGATTGCAGGTGTTTGTTTGATATCTTCTCCAATATACTATTAGTTCTCATGAACAGAGGCTGTGAGTTTAGTGTCACCACCTAATACTGTGCC